TAACTTAATTAGTTATAAGTAACTTAATTAGTTATAAATAACTTAATTAGTTATAAAACTATTCATTACACAGATTTTTATTGACTTTTAAAGTCCTGGAACAGCTTGTATCTTAGTTTTTTTTTTTTTAATTTCTTAGTTTCAACATGTATTTTGTTTGATTTGAGTGTTTAGGAATAAAATATTTTATAAGATTTATTATTTTTATTTTTTAGATTTTGGCTCTGATTTACTCACAGTTTGGGTTTGGCCAGCACAGGCGGCGGTTCTTTGCCGACCGAATCCAGACCGACGTCTTCGTCAGCAAGACGGCTGGAGTCGCGTTCTTCGTCCTCCTCATCCTCGGGCAGCTTGAAGTGCACGCGCCGCGAGCCGGAGCGCGACTCCTTGTGGTTCGTCAGGGAGTTCGTTTTGAGGCAGGAGTTAAGMGGAGGGTCCGGCAGGGGGCCGACGCCGGGGGTAACGTTCAGATTTCTTTCGTCGCTCCGGTTCTGGTCCGGTGACGTGGCCGAGGGTCCGCACGCTGAAAATGTCCGGGAGTTTTGGTCTGAAAGCATCTCCCTGCTCGGCTGCGGGTCTCGAAGCGCTCCGGTGGACCCCTGAGGATCCCGGTGGACGGAGGGAGGGTCTGAGTTTTGGCTGGACAGTAACGCTCTTGAGCCGGGGGGTTCCAGGTTCCAGGTGCACACGGGGTCCGGGCGTAACGAGCTCGACACTAAAGGTTCAAGGTGGACGGTGCTGGAGTGGGGCTTGGTGCTGCCGGGACCTGGAGGTTCTGGTGGAGAGGTTCTAGCAGGACCTGATGGGGAAAGCTCCAGGTTCTGATGGTTTCTCACATGGCTGCTGCTGCTGCTGTTACCTGAGGAGAACCAGACAGTCTTTATTAGATTTAAAGCATTCTCATTATTGACATCATTTTCCTTCCATACGTTCTTCAGCATCTCACTCGTTCCTCAATTTTTGTTCCATTTCAACAATTCATTTATCAAAACGTTCGGCTCATTYAAGCCACGGCTGCTACGACTTCGGCTATTTCAGCAATTTATACCTTTTCAGCTGTTTAGCTTTTTCTGACATTTTTTATCTTCAACATCCTGAGCTTTTAAGAGTTTTATAAATCTTTCCTGAACGTTGTAACTTTTGTTCTGGTTCTCCATTTTTTTCAACATCTTTGTGCTAATTTTAGCGTTTTTCTGCTTTTTAAGCTATCTTTCTGCTCCTTCTATTCGTTTAGTTTTTAGGCTTTTGTGCTTCTTTTAGTTGATTTCTCCTTATTTCAGCTGTTTATTTTTATTTTTTTTTTGCATTTAAGTTACTTTTTAACTATTTTCAGCTCATTTTCTCTTTTTAAAATCTAAATTCATCGTTCTATGCTAATTTCAGCTTCCTTCAACTTCTTCTTTTGCTAACCTTAGCTTTTTTCCGTTTCTTTCAGTTGTACTTTTTTGGGCTTTTATCAGTTTATTTGTGCTAAATTAAGCTTTTTACATTTCTTTTAGCTGATTTCTGGTTATTTCAGCTGTTTGTTTGTTTTTCCGGTCAGCTACTTTGGAGCTATTTTTAGATCATTTTAGCTTGTTTTTTTTACTTTTCCTATTTGTGACCATTTCAGCTTCTCTGTACTGAACACAACAAACAGGCTTTTTCTGTTTTTTAGCTACTTTGTAGCTAATTTAAGCTTTTTTATTCTAAATTCACCTTTCTATGCTAATTTCATCTTCTTTTCTTGATGAGCAAACATGCTTTTTTTGTGTCTTTGTGATAATTTCAGCTTTTCAGCTACTTTTTAGCCATTTTTCTGCTAATTTAGGCTGTTTTAGCTATTTTACAACAAACTGCAACTTTTCTTGATTTTATGCCAGAGCTGTTTTACTCTCTGTTTACCGTCTTCTAACTTCAGCTTGTTTCGGCTGCTGTCAACCTTTGTTTTCCTACTTTCAGCTGAAGTCGGCTGTTAAAATTTACCTCACATTCTTCAGCAGCTTTCAGCAAAAATCTTTCAGCTTTAAGCATTTCACTGCATCTTAGCAGGAAATGCAGATTCTCTCGTTTAGGGGGAAAAAGGGTTTTTGTAGCAGAGAGTCGTTACCTTTGACCTTCAGGGTAGCGCAGCTGGATTCGGCTCCGTAGGTGTTGCTTGCTAAACAGGTAAATCTCCCAGAATCCTCAGGAAACACCTCGGCGATGACCAGAGTGCAGATTTCCTCTGGAGGTGAAACAGAAAAAGGGGATTCTCAAACAGTCAGATTATTTTTCTCAGCATCTCTGGGGTTCGGAGGCTCAGTCCAGGCTGCGTTCCACCACCATGTTTTGACACAGTTTAGGAGAATACCTTACATGGTCCGGACCACAGGACCGGCAGCTCTGGCGTTTGTTCAGAAGACGAGCAGACGCCTCGGCCAAAAGCCTTTAAACACTTCAGCAGAGTAATATATACACACACACACACACACACACATACACGCACACACACACACTGCAGCGTCTTAAACAGGCCCACAGCTGCTTTGGTGCCGTTAACACAAAACTTATTTACACATGATGACACGTACCTGACTCAGCTGGAGATCTGGGCTCTGAAACAAAAACAAAAACTAACGTCAAAATTCTAAAACATGTAAACAAATAATATTACAATAAATTAATCATTTAAATCTAGTTCACATTTCTGTTGGTTTTTATGAAGTTCTTTAAAAGACACGTTTGACTTTAGGCAAAACACTAGCTAACTAGTTAAAAACTTAAACAAAAAAGTAACTTAAAAATCACTGTTACAAAAAATAGCTAGCAAAATGTAACAAATGGCTAACTATAAGTTCAAAGTAGCAACAAGCTAACTAAAAGTAGATTTTGTCGTCCTAAATCAACGTCAATCTTCAAAATTAATCCAACAGTTATAAACTGTTACACTGTCATTAGCCTCACATTAGTTATTTTAACAGAAATTTACAATATTTATGCAGGTAGTGTACTACAGTTAGTTACTGCTAACGCTAGCTTATCACCTCTATTTAGAACTACGATGAAATTTTGGCAGTTGTAGTGAGTTTAAAGGTCCACAAAGATCTAACTTGTTAGGGTCAGACTAGCCGTTAACTCGTCAATCTAGTCTTTTTCTGCAAACTGAGGTTGTTTGTTGTATATATGACAGGTAAGATACTGACTAGGGCTGTGTATTGGCAAGAATTTGGCGATACGATACATATCACGACAAAGGGGTCACGATATGATATATCCTGATATATTGCGATACTATAAGCAAGGCAATATATTGCAATTTTTTGTCCAAAAATTCTATTAAATAAAAACCTCTTAAAGGGAAAAAAAATGAAAAACCAAATTTCATTGTCTCAGAAAATTCTAATATTACA